TAGTTCCAGCTACTTCGCAGGTGGAGTAAGAACGCTTGAGGCCAGGAGTTCAAGACCAGCCTAAGCAAAATAGAGAGCCTCTACCCCCACTCCCTACCACACTGCTTCCACCAAAAAAAAAAAAAAAAAAAGCTGGGAGTGGTGGTGTGCGCCTGTAGTCCTAGCTACTTGGGAGGCTGAGGTGCGTGGATTGCTTGACCCTGGGAGTTCGAGGCTACAGTTAGCCATGATCAAGCCACTGTTTGAAAAGTAAACGCTCTGTCTGAAAAGTAAAAAATAAAAATAAAAATAGACTGGGCTTGGTGGCTCACGCCTGTAATCCCAGCACTTTGGGAGGCCGAGGCGGGGCGGGGGGAGATCACCTGAGGCCAGGAGTTCGAGACCAGCCTAACCAACATGGTGAAACCCTGTCTCTACTAAAAATACAAAACCTAGCCTGCTGTGCTGGTGCACGCCTGTTGTCCCTTTTAAGGTAGGGAGGCCAGGCTGAGACGCCCCCTCTCTCTAACTGCAGGACCCTCGGATTTTTGCTTTCCAGGCACCTCGCCCTTCGCTTCATGGCCCTCTAGTAGTTCCAGGGTGTGCGCAGTTGTGACCTGCTTCCCGTGAGCCTCTGCTCTACGGTCCCGGATAGAGCGTGCATTTGCTACCCCGCAGCCCTCGCGCGGCCAGGCACAGCGGACACCAGGACTCCAAGATGGCGTCAGTCGGTGAGTGTCAGGCCCCGGGTAAGGCTTTTTGGATGCCGTGGTGGAAATAGGAGCCAGGGTCCACGCTCCAAAGCCGCACTGGGACAGAAGGAACCTGCGGAGCTGCCTGCTCTTCGCTCGGGGACTTCGCCACGACCTCGAGGCGCGCGAGACCCTACTTTAGGGTATTACGCTGCCCGACCCCCTCCCGCCCGCCCAGCCGCGCCTTCTTGCTGCCCAGGGCCCGCGCCAACCGGGTTAGGCGTGGAGGGTGAAGGCAGCTGGGGCACGCGCTTCTGGGCCTGGGAATGCGCCGCCTTGGACCTTGCGTCCCTCTTTCCGCTAAGAAATAGCCGCCTCCCTGTCCCGCTGCGACCCAGTTGCTTTGCACTTGAATGGTACGCGCAGCTTCTGCCCTTCTTTCCAAAGCTTACGCTTAATGTTCCAGTGGGAGCTCAGGACTAGGACTGTGCCTGATACCATGTAAGGTTCGATGCATATGTGTTGAATAGGCTCAGAGAAGTGGGGTGACCTGTTCAAGGTCACAACTCGTGAGAGGGCTGAGCTAGTATTCAAACCTGACTGAGGCTTCGTGGTAAATGAGCTTTATTCTCTAGGATGGGCTTATGACCAGCCCGTCATATGGGTTTTCAGTGACACCCATATGCAAATCGCTACATTCATCCAGCTGTGCACACTCATGATTTTTGTTTGTTTCTGAAATAGGGCTAAACCGTGTTTTAGTGTTTTAGGGATGTGGTGTGGCCTCTCTGAGGTCACACAGCCTGATAGTGGCAGAGTTTTTATTAACCCATGTGTGTCTTAACTCAGTTTCTGTATTTTTCTTTATTATTATTATTTTTTTGAGACGGAGTTTCGCTCTTGTTGCCCAGGGTAGAGTGCAATGATGCGATCTCGGCACACTGCAACCTGAGTTCAAGCGATTCTCCAGCCTCAGCCTCCGGAGTAGCTGGGATTACAGGCGTCAGCCACTATGCCCGGCTAATTTTTGTGTTTTTTGTACAGATGGGGTTTCACCATGTTGGCCAGGCTGGTCTCGAACTGCTGACCTCAGGTGATCCACCTACCTTGGCCTCCCAAAGTGCTGGGATTACAGGTGCGAGCCACCGTGTCCACCTGGCGCAGTTTCTATATTCTTTTTTTTTTTT